GGAAGTCCTCCGTCCGGGGAACGACGAGGTCGGGAATGAGTCGCCGGTCCGAAGAGAGAAATATGTATTCCTATAGTAAGCCACAGAAAAGATATATGGTGATTCGATCATAGACATATACTTGTGATAAGTTCTTGACAATCATTTAGTTGAGCCACATTTGAAATAAAAAGTACAGCATAGCTGTCAGGAAGTTTGCCCATCAATACTAATAGAATCACTGAAGGAGAATTAGGAAGATTTCAAACCACCAAGGGGAATCCACTGAACCATTCCTGACATATTCAGGCATTTGTGGTATTAAGTGGACAATAAAACATGCACACCACCCTATCAAAGTCATGGTTTATTACTTTCTGTTCATTACCAGTGTGTATTACACATACTGCTTGTAGATGTATTTTGGGCTTTGGGCCCTCCTACCCCCACCCCTTAGTCTTTGAATCTCAGGTAAAGTGAACAATTATTTTAGTGTTTTTCTCCCTATTCTTCCCCCTACCCTGGGTTTTTTTCAAATTGTTTTAGACTGGTAGATCCTAAATCAGCACTTGGAAAAAAAAATGTCTCTTTAAGTTTAGTAATCCAGTAGCCGTCAAGTCATCTTAATTTTCCTGAACAGAATACTATTGGCCTGGGATGTGGGGAAACAACACAAAACTGTGGAGGTATAACTGACTTTATTTGCTATCCCTCTAAAGATTTAATCATCGAGGAAATGGAGGTAAATTTTCTGCAGAATTCATTTTTCCTTTGTGAAACAAAATTGTCATCTTTCTACATAGCTTTTTAGGCTGAACTGACTGGATTATGCATCCTAATGTGTTTGGTTTTAGTGATTTAAAAAAATCTCTTACTTCCCTTTCTTCTTGGCTACCCTAGGAAATTGATAAAAGCAAGTGCTGTGACCCTGTTAATGTTAGAAAGAAAGAAAATAAAGGTGAAAACAGAAATGTTCATAAATAGAGAACCAAATAAATTCTGTTATGTATTTAAAATAGAATATGAGTGGTTAGAAATAAACTAGTTAAACATTTTGAAATGAAAAGATCTACTGTTAAGATAAGAAAAAAAAGCACGGGGCTGGGGATTTAGCTCAGTGGCACAGCACCTGCCTGGCAAGCACAAGGTTGTGATTTGATTCCTGGTACCGGAAAAAAACAAAACAAAAAAAAAAGAAAAAAAGCAAGGTATAGAATAATATGTATAGTAAGGTCTCATTTATGCATTAAAAAAGATGTGTAACATGCACACAATATGCTTGTACAGGAATAGGCATTTTCTGGGACGGTATGTAAGTAGGTGATTATCATAGGCATTACCTCTGGATAGTGGAACCAGAGTAGGGAAGGTTATTTTTCATTTTATGCCCCTTAGTTCTATGTAAAGATTTTCTTACTTTTTCACATATTGCTTTATGATGTAAGTTAAAAGTAGTTAAAGTTAAATGATAACCTTTGCACTTTTTGGTGTTTAGCTTGTCCTAGGTTTTTGCATCTTTCTGCTTCCTTGGGCTCCACTTTCTCTCCGAGCAATTGCCATGCCCATACATGTCTATTCTGGACTTCTCCTCTTTGGAACAGTGATTGCAACGGTCCTTATGGGAGTGACAGAGAAGCTGACTTCTCGCCAGTAAGCTGCATAGTCTTCCTAATTGTAATATTTTAGCTACAAAATGTTCATATTTGTTCACTAGGAAAATGTACTTTAAATGTAATAATATGTAATATAAAAAAATTTAAGCCTTAACATAGTTATTTTTAAACTACTTAATTATATCATACATGTAAGATGACATTACTAAAAGCTTAGCAGGACTGCACTCACAAAACACATATGGAAACTAGACATTATGTTTCAGTCTTTGGTATGCACGTTTTTATATTATTTTTAATTACTTGTAATTAATTATTATTTGTAATTATATTGATACAAGCATTTTTGTTTCTTTTTTTCCCAAGTTTTAAGTGACACAGGTGTTCCAAGTACTATATAATTTTCATACTTAGGATTTTAAATTATTTTATGATATCCCAGTGTGTGAATTATTACATAACTTAAATTTATTCTTAATGTCAAGCTTTAAAGGAGTTCACATTCAAGCAGTATCCATGTCTATTTTGAATAGATGAATTCAGTACTGTATTGTGTGGTGCTGTTTCGGCCTATTTATAATTGGATACATTCTCTTTTTTCTTAGAACAACTCCTCCATACAACACATTCCCACCAGAAGGTATTTTCACAAATACCCTCGGTCTTCTGATTGTGTTGTACGGGGCCCTCATTTTTTGGATTGTCACCAGACCACAATGGAAACGTCCTAAAGAAGCAGATTCCTCCCTTCTCCAGTCCAATAGAGGCGCTGCAGAGGGAATGGAAGGCGCCATAACAATGAGCTTGGGCGGCAACACGGACAAATCCGATGCAGAGTTAAACAGTGAAGCAGCAGCCAGGAAGAGAAACCTTGGCCTTGATGAGGCTGGCCAGAGGTCTACCATGTAAAATATCAGTGGGCCACATTCCTTCGCATTTTAAAATGTAGCCATATAAATTCAGCTTTCAAAACTAGCTGTACAGTTTAGCTTCTCCTAGTCATAAGATGATGGAGCTATATAGTGTCAATATCTGTTATAATCACCAAAGAGCATTTCTTGAAAGAGCTTGTATTGATTGAAGTCGATGAACTTATATGAGTTGGAAAGGACATGAGCAATACAAATAATAATAGATATAAATTGTGTTTGTGTTACATCTTTCTTATCGAGAGCCAAAGCATTGTCACAGTGCCTTTCATGGAACAGATGTTCAGAGTGTGTCTGTCAGTTGATTCATTGCATAAACTGGCAGCACCGCTGATCTCCTATTACTTCTGGGCACCCACTGATTTCAGAACTAGGTAGAATCAGTTGTAAAGTTTTAAAATCAGATCACCAATGTTGGGACAGGGTTTAGATCATTGTCCTTCCCGGATACCATAACAGAAAAAAAAAATCTTTAAGAAAACACTGTTTCCTTTCTCCTTGGCAGACTTCTGCTTCCTTTCCAGTGGGTTTGGGCTCAGATTGGCTCTGGATGCCAGCCTTTATATTAGGGTATTTGGGGCCATCAGTATCTGAAGAGATCTTCCCTGGACAGAACTCTGAAGATTTTCCAGAACTCAACTTAGTCTCAGGACTGCCTGGGCTGGTGTACTTTACAATCCAGATTCTAAACCGCTTAGAATGAAAATATGCCTGAATGCTTAAGCAACATATACCACTCTACAAAATCAAAGAATACTTTTTCCTTAGTTTCTGGGGTTTTTTTGTTTGTTTGTTTGTTTGTTTGTTTAATAAAGTATTTACCTGGCACTCTATTGTCTGGTTAAACACTTTTTTAAGCACTGTATAATTAGCTCCCTCCACCCCCAGAAAGACTTTATGAGGTGGATATTATCCCCATTTTACAGGCGAGAGATCTGAAACTTGGAGTAATTGGTGACTTGACCCAGTGTCGCACAGCTCAGAAGCAGTGGAACTGTGACATTCAATTGCTGGCAGTCTGACTCCTCAGTCCATGCTCCTAACCATTTCCCTCTGCGGATCCTCTGTTTTGTATTAACATGCATCACTTTGACTCACCCTTGAATAAATTTCAGTTGCTGGACTGGGGTGGAATGGAGGTGTGAAGAATGCTTTTACCTGTGACTCTCTTCCAGCGAGACGCCCTCCCCCCCCCCCCCGGTAGCCCAGGGAAAAGGGTCTGCTACTCCTCCATATAGATCAAGGGCCCTCTGCCACCACCGCAAGGCAGAGCCTGCCCTGACGCCCTCTGAATCCTAGCATTGTGTCTTGGTGACAGGAGTGGGGAAAGCACATCTGTAGTTTTCGAGATTAATAATATTTGTTCTCCATGATATGGGAGGTGTTACAAGGGATGGAACCAGGGCTTCCTACATGCTAGACAAATGTTCTACCACTGAACCACATCCCCAGCCCTGCTCTTCAGGATCTTAGCTGCTGAACAACTTTGCAGCTGGAGAAAATTATCTCACAGGTTCCCCTTCCTGACTTTCGTGAAATTTTAAGGGACATTTTGAGCCATGAGTTCTTAGTTGTGAATTAAGGCTTAGGGCTGCTATCTGGGTGTGGTGGTGCACACCTGTAATCCCAGCACTCAGGAGGCTGAGGCGGGAGGATTTTTGCAAGTTCCAGGCCATCCTGGGCTACAAAGTGAGTTCAAGACCAGCCTGAACTGTATAGTGAGACCCTGTCTAAAAAAAAAAAGCTTAGGGATGCTAACTTTTCAGGCATGGGAATCTGTCTAGGCTCTAAACTGATTTAAAACCTAGAGTAGCGCCTATGCTAAAAGGATGTGTTTGGAATTTTGGTTGGTTTTCGGCTTCCACCTGATTTTACACTGAAGCATTGAGAGCTGGTGTGGTAGCTAAGGCAGGAGAATCATTTGTGCTCAGAAGTTTGGGACCAACCTGGGCAACATAGTAAGGCTCCATCTCTTAAAAACAACCACAACAAACAGGACACTGCAGCATTTTAATGTGACTAAGAACCCTGCAGTTTACACCAAATATATTTAACATTGTTGGTCCTTCAAGGACTTCCTTTTGGGTAACTGGCTATTATTTCCAAAGACTGAATACAGGTTACACTTCTACCCTATCACTTAAACCTCATGAATAACCATTCAGGATTCCCTTACTGCAATATTGTTTTTTTTTTTTTTATTTAATTAATTACATTTCAAAAATTGTTAATCGTATCAGAAGGATGCCAAGTGCCCAGCCCAACATCGGGCGTGTAGTAGCACAATTACACTCAGTATGAATGCTAAGTGATTGCTAAGTGGTTGCCTGGTCACCTATGTGTTTGATAAATGAATGTTTCATTACATAGAAGTACACAAACTTCCATGGTTTCTTTGGGGTGAGAGGAGGATGGTGACTAAGTCCTAAGAATGGAGGCACCGTTCCTTTTTTATATGTCGAGAAAGAGGTTATCGGTGTAAAGTTAATTACTCGGCACTAGAATAGATCCGTTGGGAAGTCTTTGAGTGCCCCTCATCTCAGCCCTTTATTTTCTCTCAAGCAGGCTAATGTGAGGGTAATCTTACAGATATTATAGGAACTTCTTTCTTTTTCAGCCCTTATAAAAAAGATGCATAGTAAAATAATCTAGAAAACCTTTCTATTTGAGACTTTCCTTTTAATGGGCTTTCTTTTCTAATGATAATTGCACTTTTATCTTTCAAAAGCTAATATTTCCTACCTAAAGCGTCTCCCCCAAAAATATCACATTAAAAAGCCCTCAAAGAATAGGGGAGAAGAAAGACTTAGGTATCAATTCCAAAACAGTGATTGAAGCCTCTAAAATAATTATAGCTTATATCATCTGTGGAGATAATCTGGCTTGGCTTACCCCATAATCTAATTTCAGAAAAGAAAGCTTTATTTTAACATTCATCTAAATCAACATGAAAGGCTTTTCTTTTGAAGGTTTTATTGAGAAACTCAAATGAATATACTTTATTGAATTAATGTCATCAAAAGTGTACAATTTCCTGTTCTTGTGTCAAACTGAATCCACCCTCCAGAGCACTTTCTTTACTTTTATGGTTTCATTTAAGCTGTGCTGTTTAGAAATAGCTTCTCAGACCTTACAATGAAATGACAAAGAAGGCAATTGTACTTTTTAAGGCATACTGACAAGTGCTTTCTGTCTTCTGAAAGACAAAATAAATTGTATGTCTTGTCTTTAATTAGGCTCTTCTCCCTGCTGAGTTGAAAAATCCAAGCAATACTGATTGACCACAACTGCCGAATTTAAAGCACAAAGGAAGAAGTAAAACCGTAGGCCAGTTTTGTTGCAATGTGATGGAATTTTTATCTTGATTTTTTTTTTTTTAAAGATAACTTCAACAGCAAACTGTAACTTCTATGTCATAGCTACACATAGGAAAGTGTAGAAGAAAGTTATTCTTCATCTGCTACGAGGTACCTGAGGAGTTTAGTGCAAAAAAGATTTCTCTTTTAAATGTGTCTTTTTATCTTAACAGACTTGGCAAAATATTAAATATTTTCAGTATTTTATAATCTTTTAGGAAAGATGCTCATTTACTTTTTCTTTTTATGTAGTAATAAAAAGGCATTTTGGAAGCTTTTAGTGTGCATTATCAATTTGTCCAGGCAAAAAGGTATAGGAATTGCTCTGAAAGTTTCTTCTCCCTAGTTTTTGGGGGGATAATTTCTTTTAGTTCTTTTATTAGAAATGCTGTCAGATTTCCCTATCAAGTGCACTCTGAGTACCGTACCTTTTACACTGCTAGAAGTATCAAACAACTGTTTCAGAACTGTCACAGAATTCCCCTCTGTTATGGTTTAGATCCAGAATGTTCCCCCAACGCTTCACACGTTTAGAGGAGCAGCTTTTGGGTCAGGTGCTACAGGCGAGCTGCCCTTAGGAGTTGGAGGCTGGTCGCTGGGGGGTGATCTGGAAGGATGTATCTCCATCCTTAGGCTCCCCTTTCTCTCTCTGCTTCTTGATCACCATGATGTACACAGGTTTCCTTTGCCCTGGTTATTCTACCATGCCATTTCTGCCTGAGAGGCAGCGTATCGGGCACTATAACTGTGTACCAAAAATCTCTCTTCGTTTAAGCTGTGGGTATCAGCTATTTTGTCTCAGCACTGAAGAAAGTAACTAAAACACCCTCCACACAGGCTCTGAGCTGGAATCACACTCTGCAGCCTAAAAGGGTACCTCAGATACAGGCAGCCCACACGCATGTGGTATGAGTTTGGAAAGCATAGAAGAAAAACCTGTTAAAGTAACGGTTGTCATAAAACTCTGTTTATATAACTTTTCATGGAGAAAATATATAATTCATCATGGATGAACTGCTTTGTTTTTCCCCAAGTTTTTCCTTAACTCCCATTAAGGATCATTAGCACCCAAGTAATGTCTAAACTTATCCAGCTCTTGCTGAGCATGGTGATGCACACCTGTAATCCCAGCACTCGGGAGGCTGAGGCAGGAGGATCAGTGGGAATTTGAGGGCAGCCTGGGCTGCAAAGTGAGCTCAAGGCCAGCCTGAACTGCATAGTGAGACCCTGTCTCAAAAAGAAAAAAAAAAAAAAGAGTACTTATCCAGCTCTTAATCTGACCACTCATTTAGGCTTTCTTCACTTTTTTATCTGCTGGACATGTTCATGGTATTTTATGTCATATAGATATAATAGTAATAGTATAAAATTATGTCCTATTGTGCAATATAGCTGTAATGCATATAAGTTGAATTTTTACATTAAATCATATTTTGTCACAGATTTATATTATTAATTTTAGGAGTAATGTATTTCATTTTAGATTTACATTAATTGGCAAGTGCACTTTGCACCTTATAAATATATACATTGGAGCATACTACTATATAATTTTACACGTATTAATTTATTTAATATAATTTGTAGTTGTGCTGGGCCTGTCGAGGATAGTGTCTCCATGCTCGAGTCCCTCCAAGGGACCTCTGCTTTACTAACTATATGTCACCTCTGTCTTCTCAGCACAGCTAACTGGACAGGGTACGAAAGGACATGCCGCCCAGGTACAACCTCTCCGAAGCAGGACAGCACACTATAGAGTCACCTGGCATAAAAAGGCAGGGGTCATTTTGCTTTTCTTTCTTCTAAGAACATGCACTGGGAAATACTTCAAAAATAAGTCAGTGAAAGCTGAAGCTAAAAGAGTGTCCCACCAGAGACAAGAGGTAGAGCCTAGACCAAGAGTCAAGAAATTTTGTCTGAGACGAGCCAAGAAGGTTTTGCGATACTACACAGTATCTATTGCAATTACTCAGCTCTGCTGTGGTAGCCCAAAGTGGCCACAGACAGTACCTTAGTGAGTGAGATTAGAATGGCTGTTTTCCAGTAAGCTTTATGTATAAAAACACATGGGAGGCCACATTTGCCCCCTGACTAAAGATTGCCAATCCCTGGTCTAGACCAGAAGGAGGGCCACGGTAGTTGTTGATAGGCAAAAACAATGAGGAATTAAAAATTATGTAGGAAGAAGACAATGATGGTAGAGAGGAAGGGACTTAGGGAGACCCCACCTGAAAATAAAAATAGAAAGGGTCAGGAACGTAGCTCAGTGCAAAGCCCCAATTTCAGTCATCTCCAGTACCTGGGGCAGGATGTGGGGCTCTCCATGAACTCAAATCCTGCATGATAAGTGTTTTGAAGGTGATAGCACTCTGCCTTTTTCAGGGTCACCATTGAAGAAATCAGATTTTCTTCTCACCAGCTCTCAGCTTTTGATTGGCAAGTAGCCAGACTGGTAACATCAGAAGCAAGGTTTTTGT